CTCCATCCTCCCTACATAGGCTCCCTCCTTCCTATTTCCCCTCCATCCTCCCTACTTCCCCCTCCATCATCCTACTTCACCTCCCATGCCCCCCTCTTCCCCCTTCATCATAACTTCCTCTCCCATCCATCCTCCGTACTTCACCTCCATCCTCCCTTACTTTCCCTTCCATGATCCCTACTTCCCCTCCATCCTCCCTACTTCCCCTCCATCCTCCCAACTTCCACCTCCATTTTCCATACTTCCCTCTCCATCCTAACTACTTCCCCTCCATCCTCCCTACTTCCACACCATCCTCCCTACTTCCCCTGTTTCCCCCTCCATCCTCCCTACTTCCCCTCAGTCATCACTAATTCCCCCTCCATCCTCCCTACTTTCTCCTCCATCCTCCACTATTTAACCCTCCATCATCACTACTTCCCTTCCATCCTCCCATACTTTCCCTTCCATGATCCCTACTTCCCCTCCATTCTCACTACTTCCCCTCCATCCTCCCAACTTCCCCCTCCATCCTCACTACTACCCCTCCATCCTCACTACTTCCCCTCAATCCTCTCTACTTCCACACGATCCTCCCTACTTCCCCTCCATTCTCCCAACCTCTGCCTCCATCCTCCCCTGTTTCCCCCTCCATCATCCCCACTTCTCCTCCATCCTCCCTACTTCCCCTCAGTCATCACTACTTCCCCTTTCATCCTCCCTATTTCCCCTCCATCCTCCCTACTTAACCTCAATTCTCCCTACTTCCCCCTCCATTCTCCCTACATAGGCTCCCTCCTTCCTATTTCCCCTCAATCCTCCCTACTTCCCTCTCCATCGTCCTACTTGACCTTCCATGCCCCCTGCTTCCCCCTTCATCATAACTTCCTGTCCCATACATCCTCCCTACTTCCCCTCCATCCTCCCTACTTCCACACCATCCTCCCTACTTCCCCTGTTTCCCCCTCCATCCTCCCTACTTCCCCTCAATCATCACTAATTCCCCCTCCATCCTCCCTACTTTCTCCTCCATCCTCCCCTTTTTAATCCTCCATGATCACTACTTCCCTTCCATCCTCCCATACTTTCCCTTCCATGATCCCTACTTCCCCTCCATCCTCCCTACTTCCCCTCCATCCTCCCAACTTCCCCCTCTATCCTCACTACTTCCCCTCCATCCTCACTACTTCCCCTCAATCCTCTCTACTTCCACACGATCCTCCCTACTTCACCTCCATCCTCCCAACCTCTGCCTCCATCCTGTCCTGTTTCCCCCTCCATCATCCCCACTTCTCCTCCATCCTCCCTACTTCCCCTCAGTCATCACTACTTCCCCCTTCATCCTCCCTACTTCCCCTCCATCCTCCCTACTTCCCCTCCATCCTCACTACTTCCCCTCCATTCTCCCTACTTACCCCTCCATCACTCCTACTTCTCTTCCATCCTCCCTTCTTCGACTCCATCTTCCCTATTTTCCCTCAATCCTCCCTACTTCCCCACAATCCTCCCTACTTCCCCTCCATCCTCCCTACTTTCCCCTCCATCCTCCCTACTTTCCTCTCCACCATCCCTTCTTCCCCTGCATCCTCCCCCGTTTCCCCCTCCCTACTTCCCCTCCATCGTACCTGCTTCCCCCTCCATCCTCCCTACTTCCCCCTCCATCCATCCTATTTAACCTCCTTCGAATTCCTCTTCCCTTGAATCCTCCCTACTTCCCTCTCCACCATCCCTTCTTCCCCTCAATCCTCCCTACCTCTGCCTCCATCCTCCCCACCTCGCCTCCATCCTCCCTACTTCTCCCTCCATCCTCCCTACTTTCCCCTCAATCCTCCACTACTTACCTCTCCATCCTCACTACTTCCCCTTCATTCTCCCTAGTTACCCCTCCATTCTCACTACTTTTCCCTCCATCCTCCCTTCTTCCCCTCCATCCACCCTACTTCCCCCTCAATCCTCCCTACTTAGCCTCCCTCCTTCCTATTTCCCCTCCATCCTCCCTACTTCCCCATCCATCATCCCTGCTTCCCCTCAATCATTCCTACGTCCGCTCCATCCTAACAGCTTGACCTCCATCCTCCCATACTTCGCCTCCACCCTCCCTACTTCTACTCCATCCTCCCTACTTCCCCTCCATCATCCCTACTTCCCCTCCATCCTAACAGTTTGACCTCCATCCTCCCATACTTCCCCTCCATCCTCCCTACTTCCCTTCAATCATCTCTACTTCCCCCTCCATGGTCTCAAGTTCCTCTCCATCCTTCATCAACCCCTACTTCCCCTCCATCCTCTCAATTTCACCCTTCATCATCTTTACTTCCCTTCTATCATCTCTACTTCTCCATCATCCCTACTTCCCCTCCATCCAACCTACTTCTGCCTCCATTCACTGTACTTCCCCTCCATCCCCGCTAGTTCCCCCTCAATCATCCCTTTTTCTTCACCATCCTCACTACTAATTCCCCCACCCCCACCCCCCTAAAAACCCTACTTCCCCTTCATTCTCCCTACTTCCCCCTGCATCCTCACTACTTCCCCTCCATCCTCTCTACTTCTACTCGATCCTCCCAACTTCCCCTCCATCATCCCTACTTCCCCTCCATCCTAACAGTTTGACCTCCATCCTCCCATACTTCCCCTCCAACCTCCCTACTTCCCTGCCCATCCTTCATCCCCTCTATCATCTCTACTTCCCCTCCATCCTCCCTACTTCCCTTCCATCATCTCTACTTCCCCCTCCATGGTCTCAAGTTCCTTTCTATCCTTCATCAACCCCTACTTCCCCTACATCCTCTCAATTTCACCCTTCATCATCTTTACTTCCCTTCTATCATCTCTACTTCTCTATCATCCCTACTTCCCCTCCATCATCACTACTTCCCCTCCATCCAACCTACTCCCGCCTCCATCCACTGTACTTCCCCTCCATCACTTCTAGCTCCACTCCATCCTCCCTAGTTCCCCTTCATCCTCCCTACTTCCCCCTCCATCCTCTCTACTTCCCCTCCATCCTTCCTACACCCCTACTTCCTTTCCATCCTCCCTACTTCCCCTCCGTACTCTCTACTTCACCACCATCCTCTTTACTTTCGAGTGATTTTTCCGACTTAAACCAAGTTATGGTTGATATATAATTTAACATATTTTCGTCAGTTTAAAATGCTGGCCCAGAATCATAATTGTTTTTTTTATAACTTAACGTATACAGTTTCAACATCGATATTTGTGTTGGAATAGTTTGGTTCCTCGTGAACAAAACACCACGAAAATATATAATTATTATTTTCCTTACACGAAGCTAATTCTCACCAAGTAACCTGTGTTACAATAAACTAGTGCTAAGCATAGCGGAGTTATGCCCCATTTTCTTTGAACATGTGTAACCTCTCTGTCGCATTTAGACGTCATGGAAAAAAATCAGTGTTCGTCATTTACGGCATGCTGTTTTGGGCATTGAATTCATACCTATCAACTCTCACGCATCTCGCGTGAGTCTCACGCATTTATCACCTATGTCACGCTCACACGCAAGGTTGGGAAATTCTCACGCATTCATATAAAATGTAGATAAAAATATACTTTTTCAGAATACATGCTCTCTAAGGCAAAACTCCAGATAAGCTTTTGGTGTTGTGGGTATTTTACCCATGCATTTTAAAATCATTGGGTATCAGTAATTCTATCTTGGTATTCAAATTTCTGTTACCCACTAGTTTTTACACATGTGGGTATTTAAGTTAAATATTTAAAATCACTATTCATCTAGTCCCTGCAAACTGGTGTCGTGTAGGTTCGAGAGCTTTATAGGACTCAAAAATACCACGATACTTCCACAAGAAAGTGTGATGGCAAATTATCATGATGTAACTGTCATCGTGGAGTTTGGCAAGGTTGACGGGATGCCTGTTTATAATTTCAAAATAAGTTGCTGATTTGCTAATCGAATGCGCAGGGTTACTTCACAATATTTTGATGATACGCACAAGTTTTATTTTTGTAGCGTATCTGTAATGTTCGTTGCGTATTTGATACACTTGGATTTTATTTTACTGCGTATTTCTGCATTTCTGATGCGTATTTTACACAGATACGCAGCTTATCTGGAGCTCTGCTCTAAGGCCATTAAAATGGTCTTAAAATCATTAAAAGCCAGTTTTCGCCGGGGGGGGGGGGGGGGGGGGGGGGGGCATCGCCCCCCGGCGCCCCACACCGCTGGACCCAGCGGGGCTTGCAGCCCCTGCACCCTGGCTTCTCACTCATTTAGACATCCAGGGGCTGACAGCTATGTGAATTTATGTCATTTAACATACGCACATAACTGCATTTGATATGTAGTTATGTCGTTCAGATATTAGGCAGTATTTTGTTTGCTCACAGTTTCCGTAAAGCTTCGAAATTTAAAAAACCCGTCGAACAGTACTTTTATCGGTGTACGATAAAAAGCCAAGACATTTACTGTTTTTCAACGCAGAATAAATTCTCGGACAACACTTAGAAGTGTCTTTTTTAAAACCGGTTTCATATTTACAGTTAAATTTACACCATCAAATAGGAAATTTAATATTCTCCACCTCTATGTAATTTTATAGCTAGCTGTAGATCCAGAGCCGCGTGAGCGCAATTCTCGCACAACCTTCACTTTTCCGATCTTAGGAAAATGTGCGTTAGAAAAAAAACCCTCGGCATCCAGAGGTTTAACTGAGATAAAGACAAGAATTTTCGTTTCACCATGCTGGTTATTATATATAAGTTCAGTATTAAAAACGAATTTACAATAAACCCCATAATTTATTTTATAAACGGGGATGTGTTCATACTCCAAAGACATTGTGTCCCGGAAACCAGTTGAAAGAAGCGTCGTAGCATCGCCGAGAAGGCTGGGTCCCGTCTCTCATATCGCAAGTGGACAGCGCGCATAGCACGTAAAGCTATTATAAGAGCGCCACCTGACGACAGTGCGAAGGCGGTCGAGTTGGCCGATAGCAAAATGCAAGCACTGCTGTGGAGTTTGATAAATAAGGCGAATGCAAAATCCCTGTCTGGAGCTTGGGCTTTTTTTATAACACGTTGTACCTAAAATGGCGATCTGTGGCAAGTGTTGAAAAGACAGTTTGGGGCGTGGATGTCTCATGGAAACATTCTCCTTATGGTCGATGAAATTCATACCTGTTATTAAGGAGGTAATCTTTTGTGTGAATAGACAGATCATTGTGCATATCAGTTAATATGACCTACGATGTTTACTGTCAACGACATTCACAAACACAACCGTAAACATGTAACTTAGATGTTTGTGGTTGTGTTTGTGAAAGTAGGTTGGAAAGAAGCTGTCATGGAAATGTCCGAATTATATAGAAAAAGTATACATATATAGTTTTATAAGTTGTAGAATGGCATGTTTATATTGAACAATCAGAACTGAATGTTACTTATCCGCGTATATGGACCCTTCAATCGAGATATAAAGTTGAAAACTTGTCTGTCAAAATAGTGTACAACAACAAGTTTGTCAATTATCCATAAACATGATAAACGCCACAGTCAGAAGTTTTCCACACAATGGTGCCATTCCGGAGTTGGGCTAAGATTGTATATTATCTGTCTGTAACAGGAAAATTCAGAATTTGGAAAGAAGTATAATTTTGTCTAAAATTAGAATTTATGAAAAGTCATCATTTCTACAGCTAGGCCTATAACTGGCTATAAGTCTAAGGCTTTCTAACCTTGCATTCAATTCAAAACTAAGTAGTCTTAATAAGCATGATAAGTTCAAGCATTTCATTTGACTTTATAACATTTTTACTATTTAGGACATAGGTCAAGTAAAAAAAGCAAATCTGAGTTGCTTTTTTGTTTTTTTTTAGTTTCGATCCCTACCTCGCAATTATATTTAGTTAATATTTAACAAAACAATATACCGTATTCGACATAATAAGCGCCCAGGGCGCTCTCAAAATTAGAAATAGGGGGCTCTTATTAGAATAAAATTTTGGTGAAAAAAAAGAGTTAAATGATCGTAAATTTCGTGGTTTATGCTGACAGCCTGAAATGATACCAAAAAAGTCTTTTAGACACAACAAATATTTTTTTCCAGAATTTCATTGCCCATGATATGGGGTGCATATAACACACGAGTGCGTATTATACACGGATAAATAAGTCTTGTGTAAATTGATCACTTGGAAGAGGTGCTAATTAGGATTGTTCACTCGCCAATATATTAGCAAAAATCGCCGTGGGCGCTTATTAGAGCGGGGCGCTTATTACGTCGAATACAGTATATCAATATTGGTGCCTTAAAGGGGCACTGATCTAAAGCAATTCCCCGGGACTGGTTGTTGCCTTTGTTATTGATTTTTCACTGTGGGTACCTGGATGATATAGCAGAAATCTAGACTAAAGTACTGTCGGAAATGCTAGAAAACTGCTTTTTGCCTGTTAAAAAGGGATATAATTTTTCACAGACCGATATTGAAATATCGAATAACTACTGATCGCCCTACATGCCCTACCTGTGGTTTGAAGTATTTCAGTCACAAGGAGTCCTATCGACAAGTTTACAGGAGACAAATTCGAACGAAAACATGAAGTTCACATTTATTCTAAGTCCAATGATGGAAGTCTGAAACAGACTATAGAAATGTGCACACGTGACTCTGTTACAATGATAATAATGTAGTCTTCTTAAAACATGTACTCCACACACAAAAATCATTTTGAGAAAATTCTAGATGTGAATCTTTTAAAATGACAAAATGACACTGCAGTGTTTTTGTTAACATTTCTCCCATGATGCATGTTACATTACACTTGCATAGCCATAGCCATGGTACACGTTATGGAATCTGTACTTGGAAATGCATACAAGTTCTTTACACTTTAGAGAGATAGAGGGAAACTATTATTAATTTAGATAGGGTGAATTACCTAACTACCCAAGCTATGAGGTTTTCAATTCATACCATCAAGTCTACGGTATGATAAGAAAACAAAACAGGTATATGGGTGGTCTCAAAAACAAAACTGGGGCGTAAAAGGATTTAGACAGTTTTGATACAGGGTGATTAGGCGTATAGTGTACAAGTGTAACCCTGACTTGTAGTAGAATTTGGGAGGAATTAAAGATACAATTAATGTTTCACGGACTGCACTATTGCTCTCCAAGAGATGGGATTTCAATGCACTGTGCATGGTGATGACCGAGCACTTTTCAGGGGAAAATATTCCATCCTGTCTTTGAGGTCACATTATCTCCGAACCATTCATAACTATCACAGTCAAGGTGTCCAGATAATTTACCTTGGTGAATCATTCCACTGACTACATATGGCTATTGGCAGATGGACAAAAAGCACCCATGGTACCATCAAGTAAAGGTAATCGTGTCATTGTTTTGCACGCTGTAACCCATGATATGGGGCTTATTGATGGATGTTTTCGAGGCGAAAATTGGTGATTTTAATAAGGAAAATATAAGAGGTAATGTGTTCATAGACTGGATGGAACTTCAGCTATTGCCCATTTTAAACAACGTCAGTGTGATTGTCATGGATAACGCCAGGGAATCAGATACTGTTGCCCAAACCATGAGTAGTCTGAAAGCGACCATACAGGAATATATGACATTGGTCAACTTCAGATCACATGAAACGAAAGTTCATGGAGAAAATTAGGCTGAACATATGTGCTGGCAGCACAACGCGGTTACGTTGTCTTACGTACGGCAGTCAGACATTGTGAGCTCAACCCTGTTGTGTCTATCTTGGCTAAATGTACAGGGTTCGTGGCAAGACATAACACAACATTCAAAAGTACAGATTCATATACGTCATCAGCGGAGATAAATGCTACCTCAAGAAACCATCTGTAGAACAACAAATACTTCTGGATTCCAAAACCCCAACCTTCCAATACTCATCCTGTTTCATAGCTCTTAACTAGTCCATCATGTTTCCAAGCAAATATAATCATGATAATGCAGTTCATATACTAAATTGCTACCTCATTAACGCATGTCAATTAAGTACAATAACAGCAATATGTTGAGACCACCCCCAACTCGGTGACAGTTGCACCTGGGAGAATGCACGGGACGGTGTGAGGTCATAACCTCGGGACATGTGTTAGGTAATTACCTCAGGTGATAGGCCATTTCATACATGCATGACAACGCACGAATATTTTCTAAGTTTATCATCATTTTACCTGTAAAAGTACATTTTAAGGGTAATCACAGTGTCAGTTAGGACAGGCTAGATTAGGGCAATTTGCGTTATTTTGATATATGCTCTTTTTATAGTCCTATGACTCGTATTTATTAAATGAAACCAGAAAAGCAGTTTTCTAGCATTTCCAACAGTACTTTAGTTCTCGACCTGTGCTGCGCTACTTGTAAGCACTTTCATTGATAGTGTAAGGGCGTATGGTCACATTGATGAACAAACATAAATACAGCTCAGTTTTTAAAATAATATCGAAATGTAGGTATCTTTGCATAGGTAATGGTGACGAAGTTTTGATAAGTCACTTGCTTGGTATAGTGCGATTTTCGTTTACACTATTTTGACTTGCAACACAAAGAAAATATTTCACCTGAGCATTGCTTATTTTATCATGTGTATATTTTATAGCCAAAATGTGTAACTTTTTCACTTAGGCAATTTATTAAACGTCTAAATATTCAGTTATTTTACAAATTGACTGAAAAATCTGTCCATTTCTATTATTATGATAACAAATTCCAAATATTTTTATGCTTTACTTTCATCATCCAGTGACTGAAAATGATAGGATTAAAAGAAAACGAATTTCAAAGTACATTTCTGTAGTTTTGGCTTCTAATCCTAGCATAAATAGTCTATTGTGATGTTTGTCTCGCATCAAAGAACTTCCCAACGAAAACGTAGAGGAACAAAAATGATTCTATTCAATCTAACAGCATATCATTATGAATGAAAACAAAATGCAAATATCATAATTACAACCTACCAAAGTTATATGTATAAATTTAGGCAGCTACCTTGTTCAAGGAATGTATCCATGAATATCCACATAAAGGAACAATATCCCATACGTCTGTAGCTGTACAAATCAACTTATTCGATCTCACATGTCTCTGTAACAATCAAATATTTGAAAATATGTATAGCTTTTGGGATATTATAACCCCTGTTCGTTTCTCAACTGATCACTTAGTTTGTTTGAGGTGTTTCACATAGGTGTCAAATCTCAAAGGTCAGCTGAGAAAGCCCACGTGACAACTATTTTCATAATGTCCATGGTTCTTTAAAAACATAGAGTTAGATAACAATGAACAATCAACGTTTTATCGGCTAATCCTTTGATCAAAGTATGTTGTTTTTACATCGGCACTTCAGGTCCAGATATGGGGGTATTCTGTCTGCTTTAGTAAACATATACATGTAAACACTTACTTTCGACAAATCCACTGTGCAAAACAGTGATTATTCAATCAACATATTTTCTGCTGATCCTTTGATGGCCAGGAATGATGAGTTAATTTACATAAAAGTAAATCAACTGATCACTCCTCTTGCTGCGCTGCCACTGTGCATATTACATAACATACATTTCACCCAACTTCAAACCGGGATTCAGATTAAATAATTACCCAAGATACAAGAAATGCCTAATGGGAACCTTTGTCTGGTAATCATGTCTGGAGCTACCACAAATTATACCTGTAATAAATTAATTAACTGAGGTTCAAGTGAATGACAACAAATACCCAGGCGTTGGGTTATACCAGGAAATATGGATGACAACAAGGGAGTAGCAATCATATTATCCACACAATCCGAAATGCTTCACTTTAGGGATACGTTTTATTATTATTAAACTATAACCATCAGGGGTATTTCCAAATAAGAACATCTGATGAGCTTCCACTGTTCTTTTTGTCTGTTTGTTTAGGCTGAAGAAATTAATTAACATGCACCCTTTTTCAAAATCTTCATACATCACGGGTAATCAGTGTTCAAATATGCGTAAAACAGATATTGCCTCGAAGTTTATGTATGCTGTCCTTGCAGACGGTAGCCCAGTCTCTTGTCACGCTCAGTTGCGTTAGCGAGCAAAAGGACTCGTGGCAGCTAGTGAGCCCTAGCGGGCAGTGTTAGTCAGCCGAGACGAAGCCAGCCTTAACTTGATAAAGTTGATATTATGTTGTTCTTCCTGTTCTCAAAGCTCATTATATATTTAATCATGATTCTAAACATGCTAAATTGTTAAATTTTTGTCAACATTTAATGATTTGCTGTTGACAAAATTGACTGGTGATTTAATGATCTCACACTTTGACTTTACAAGAGAATGAAGTTATAGTGCTATATAAGAAGCCTTATTCTTGTTATCCCCAGCCAAAATGTGGAACTGGGGATATGGGTTTGGTCTCTTGTCTGCCCAACTTCAGTTGGAACATTTTTTTCCTGAAACTGCTATGGCCCCACTTATACCCTGTTCACATGCGCCGCTATACATATGTATGTATATGTGCATACGTGTGTAGAAAATACTAGAAATACATATGTGAGTATACTCGTCATGTGAACGTGTTTACTCAATACTCATGTGTGTATATTTACACCAGGAGCAAATTTGCATTATGTCTGGAGCAGGTGCAAATGTAAATTTGCACTGTGTGTATATGTTGCAATGTGAATGTTTGTCAACCTAAGAGGATGATCTAATAATATCTGTTCTTTTGCCAACACCAAACAAATTGTTAACCCTTGCCAACTTTTATGTGTATATATAGAGTTGCGGACAGTGTTTTCTTTTGGTTTGAAGGAGTCAAAACTTTGTGATGACGACTGTCTCTGTGGTCTAGCGGTAGAGCCTCTGTCCAGAGAGAGTGGAAGGTCCAGGGTTCGATCCCAGGCCGTGTCATACCAAAAGACATTAAAAGTACTTATTGTTACCCTGCCTGGTGCTCGGCATTAAGGGGCTAAAATAAGGACTGGTCGGCTCAGAGTCAGTATACAGTGGCTGAGTAGGGTATTCATGTTACAACTGTTGCATGGTATCTGAGTGCGCTAGCACTATAAAATCGGCATTGGTTCGGACTGGTATTAGCAGCCACACACACACATGCATGCACGTCGCTATATAAATGCAGTAATCCTGGACGTCATGTTAACCACTATTTCACCTAGCTAAGGATGACATTTTGCATACATCATAAAGGATTCAAATTATTTGGATCGATCACTGGATTGTCTCAACCATATACTGTTATCCATCATATAGCTGGAATATTGATGAGTCAGGGAGTGTGGCATTAAACAATAAACAAACAAAACATCGAAAGCCTGCTACTTGTCCATTCTATAGCGCTGGCTACAGATCTCAGATCAATAATAGTTAACTAAATATTGATCAAGTATGGATAAACATTGGATAAGTAACTCTGAGAAAATATGAAAAAGCTCAAAAACATGTTTCATGTCACCAAAATGGCCCAAAACAAGTCTGTTTGGTAAATCAAAACTTTATTTCATCACAATAGTTTATGTATGATATTATCGATGACATAATTTCCATATCAATAATTGTTAATATTTCTTCCCATCAACAATAATTCCAATTGTCGATCTTTTTAGTCAGCCTTATCATTCAATCACAATTTTGATTGTGTTGCAGAATGGACTATTGACGATATGAGGACTCCACGTAGACTTAGCATCAGTATCAAGATTGATATGAAGTGTTTACGCCCCTTGCTGACGCTTATCATAGGGCTGTGCCTTGGGATCACCATGAGCATGATGTATGCCCCCTTCAGTGAGGATAGCTGCGAAACCTACGTCTCCAAGCAAGACCCTCAAGAACTTGTAAAGAGACGTGAAACAAAATCCTTAGAGGTTCAACAAGACGGAGAAGGAAAGTTTGAACCCCGATTGCGGCTACAGGAAAAACCAGGGGGGAATACCGGCGTTGGTAATGTTGGCGGGTCGACCAAAAAACTCATCCGACCTCGGTATGCATCAACAGAATTGGGAATACTTGATAAGCTATTTGTAGCTGTGATCACATCGCGAAATACTATTGACACACTTGGTGTAGCTTTCAACAAGACTGTTCAACATCATGTTACCAAACTGGTTTTCTTTATGGACGATAAGGGTCAGTCTCTGCCTTCTGGGATGTCTGTTGTGAGCTTTGCGGACAAGCGCCCTCACCTGATCCCAATACACATTCTCAAGTACATCGCTGAACATTACCCAGACAAGTTTGACTACTATATGTTTGTGTCTGATCGGACTTACATCCGTGGGGAAACGCTGTTTGACTTCGTGAGTGGCGTGAGTGTGAGTCATCACATGTATCTGGGATGCCCCAAAGCTGCAGATGGAACTGATGTATACTGCTCCCTGGATGGGGGGATCATCATTTCTCAGGTACATATTGTAACTTTTTCTTTGTCATGTTAAACCAATGTGTATCATGGAGGAAAATAGGTCACTGGTGCCCCATTATTGTGCAAGGTGACTAGACATGCTAAATGGGTCCAATGTAGGATTCTGGTGCAGAATCATGTGAACATAGTGAATAGGTCCCCAGTACCCAGTCCTTGTTCAAGGTAACTAAAAAGGTCCACTGTAAGGATTCTGGGGGTGTACAGGTCCACAGTACCCCATGCTTGTTCAAAGTGACTAAATAGGTCCACTGTAAGGATTCCGGGGGTGTACAGGTCCCAAGTACCCCATGCTTGTTCAAGGTGACTAAATAGGTCCACTGTAAGGATTCCAGGGCTGTATTGGTCCCTAGAACCCTATAAATGTACAAGGTAACTAAATCGGTCCACAGTGTAAGGATTCTGGGGGTGTACAGGTCCCCAGTACCCCATGCTTGTTCAAGGTGACTAAATAGGTCCACTGTAAGGATTCCGGGGCTGTATCGGTCCCTAGAACCCTATAAATGTACAAGGTAACCATGGTAACTAAATCGGTCCACAGTGTAAGGATTCCGGGGGTGTACAGGTCCCCAGTACCCCATGCTTGTTCAAGGTGACTAAATAGGTCCACTGTAAGGATTCCGGGGCTGTATCGGTCCCTAGAACCCTATAAATGTACAAGGTAACTAAATCGTTCCACAGTGTAAGGATTCCGGGGGTGTACAGGTCCCCAATACCCCATGCTTGTTCAAGGTGACTAAATAGGTCCACTGTAAGGATTCTGGGGCTGCATCGGTCCCTAGAACCCTATAAATGTACAAGGTAACTAAATCGGTCCACAGTGTAAGGATTCCGGGGCTTTATAGGTCCCCAGTATGCCATGCTTGTACAAGGTGACTAAGTGGGTCCACTTTAACGATTCTGCTTGATCCATGCTTGTTGAAGTGGTTTGTCTGGCCAGGATTTGATTATTTACGGGCTGGTTTGATGTTGATATAGCTGAAATATTGCTGACTCCATTATAAAACAACATTCATTCTTTCCATTTTCGTGTAAGAAAAGGCAGGCTTTGAAGGTATGTCAGTCTGGTTGAAATCATAATGTGATGGGACACCTGAAGTATAAATTTGGTAGCACTTCTTCATCATGTTTTCAGCTTGTGGAATTTCTTTTATAATAGTTAGGGGCGATGGGGTGGCCTAGTGGGTAACATGGTTAAATCGTATGCTCGCCCCACCGAAGGCCAAGGTTCAATTTCCCACAATGTGACATGGGTACAATATGTGAAGCCCATTTCTGGTGTTCCCCGCTGTTATATTGCTAGAATCTTGTTCATACTTGTTCACTCACTCAAAATATTTATCATGTTTATTATCATTATCCTAGGTCAAGGAAAAGGAAAGCTTATACACCTCATTGAGCATGATTACGTTTGGTTTACTTGATCATCATCATCATCATCATCATCATCATCATCATCATAGCATCACTGTAGGCATGGTTTTGGTAGTAACACTGGGTACAAAGTATCCTAACTTTTTTCAATCCTGTTTTGATTTCAGTCTATTCTTTCTCAAGTTCTGTCTGAGATGGAATGGTGTACTACAAATTGTCACTCTTCAGACCCCACCATCAACATGGGTAAATGTCTTCAACATGCCACTGGGCGTTCATGTCAAGGCCATATCAATGTAAGTCTGCTGTTTACCATTGTTACCTTCTACAGTTTCCTAAGCTCAACTTGTGTGTGTTGTCAATAATACTTAACATGCTAAGACATGCAGCCTTAGGTCAGGGAACAGGTCTAGGGGAGTTTATGTCATCTGCATGTCCCAAAGCTTTATCTGGGATTATCAACATAAGTCTGGCAGGCAAATTGAAAAGTCCACATTTTTTTTGCTTTATATTTTTCCATATTAACATATTGAAGTGATAGAAACTACCAGTTTTAGTCTTCTAGTCCTTATGATGCTAACCTAGTGTAACCCGTAAAACTGGCAAATATCTACTAGTTCTTATGATACCTTAACTCTTGGGCAGTTTGGCAAGGACTATACTGATAGGACTAGAGCCAATTTCTGATATTGGTTTTGTTGCACTAAACATTATAATAGCCATGATAACTCGGAATTGCTCATTGTTAGTTCCAATTTTAGGTTTGGGATAAAATCAGATTTTTAACATGATTTGATACCTCTCTCCATGAAGAGCAGACAACCCGTTATAGGAGATCATGTCAAAGTTTGACTCACCCAATCCAACTGAAGGATGCATGGGCTCAGGAGTCAATCAGGTTTCAGCTACCAAACTATTCAGTTTCATTTCTCTACCACCTTCATCATGTTAATTTAGAAGTTAGCACAAAAAACACATTTACAAACATTTGTGTTAAAATCTGCCTTTTAGTATGGCTTGTTACGTCCCTGTATCTTTAGGTCCATTATGTCCATCCACTATGTCCATCCACTAATTTGGACTTCTCCGAAACTGGCAATAAATATAAAGTGCAAATGCTTCCATTTCAGTTTCATCCATATGGACACACACAAGTACACGACTTCGACTTTGATGACGACATTGTGATTCTTAAAGAAAAGGAGACCTTTAACAATTCTATTGCAGTTTATCCCATGCCTGATGACACTAACTATTACAAACTTCACCGGTAAGTCCTAATTTCTTTCAGTTCAATGTGATCATGTAATATTTAATTATCAGGGTTAGAAATTAATTGTTATTTTCATTAGTCTGTAAAAGTTATGTGCTACAGCGTGTCCATATCCCTAATGGTGAGAGTGGTAGTTCACAAGGAAATGTTGCTTATCATTCCTGAATAATTTACTAGTCTTGGACTTTGTTAATATTGACTGGGATTTGTTAAGTTCAGACCCTGATTATATTCTTTGTAGATTTGTAGACCAACATTGGCAAGTGGTAAACGGCTTAGACCTGCATCTCTTTGGGATGGCCTCCCACATTAAGTTGTCACGCCATGATAACACTGAAATACTGTTCAAACTTGAGTTAAGCCCAACATGTGTAATAACAGGGGTTCTGGGGAAGAATAGGTCACTTATCCAGGATCTGTACTTCTGTTGATTGTGGGGCAGAATAGGTCACATAGCCGGGATCTGTTATTCTGTTGATTGCAGTGTCCAACCCAGGCCGTGCAATTGCACGATTCACGCTAAATAAATCAATACGCCCCTCATAAAAAAAAAAATCAAAGCGCCATCTGTCGTGCACAGTAATTTCTTGTTCAGTCACTTACTTTATCAGCTGTTTATCCCTCCCTTTAGATTCAATACTCACTAAATCTTTAATCAATTAACGAAGAAAGGCAGTTCACAGCAAACATAGTAAACAACTGTCGATGACCGATCGATAACAACCGGAAGTTCAAACACGAGTGATGTCCCTTGGGCTGCTGAATAAATTATCGACAGGATTGGCATAGGAAATTAAATTTGATTTTCTTTAGTAGAAAACGTATCAAAACTTTGATCAAAATTATGTTGTATTTTGTTGTTTAGTAATCAAAAACCTTTGACAAGATGTGTAAAGACAATAAATATTATATGTTGAATAGTTCTGAAAATATTTTTGAGTATTTTAGTTCGTTTAAGTTTCATTTCTGAAATCACACAATATGAATCGCCGACTGTCATAGCAGACGATCTTTTGAATAGTGAATGACCATGTCGCGCAAAAACAAAAGAATTACAGACTTTTTTAATCAAAATAGAAAAAAGCACAAAGCATTGTTATTCATTTCAGTTCTTTATTCTAAACTGTTACACTTTTATATGATGATGTTCCAGTACATAATACAAAATAATACATTTTTGAAGAAAGCAATTATCCCCCCTACTTTTTCAAAATCCCTCCTATTTTCTACATGATGGGGGGACAAGTCCCCCCTTGATTTTCAATTCTGGGTTGGACACTGGATTGTTGGGCAGAATAGGTCACTTATCCAGGATCTGTATATCTGTTAAATAGGTCACTTAGCTGGGATCTGTTATTCTGCTGATAACTTTCACTGATGTTGAGTAAATGAAAACCTTATTGTATAACCAACCAAAGGGTAAATATATAAATGAAATTAGCATTACCTATGTTGTTGAGTGGAACAGATGAGACATTTGTCTATGACCCCGTAATTTGCTGTGCAGAGTTGCGCCCCTTGGGCATGCCAGAATCTTAAGATTATGGGTTTGAATGACAGAATCGCCTTGACTGTGATACTCAGTCTGTCAGCACCATACCCATGCTCTTGCCTTTCACAACAGTGTTAACCCTGTGAAGATCAGGGTTCGAATAGGTCTTCAGCCACCCATGGTTGCCGTAAGAGGTGACTAGGCTTGTCATAAGACGCGACTAACGGGACCGGGTGGTCAAGCTTGCTGACTTAGTTAATGCATGTCATCATATCCCAATTGACCCATGAAAATCTGGGGTAGAATAGGTCTTCAGCAACCCATATTTGCCATAAAAGGCGACTATGCTTGTCGTAAAAGGCAAATAACGGTATCGGGTGGTCAGTCTTGTTGACTTGGTTAATGCATGTCGTTGATCCCAATTGCATGGATCGATGCTCATGACATCAATCACTGGATTGTCTGGCCCAGACTTGATTATTTACACTAAATTACAGACCGCCATCATGTAGCTGAAATATTGCTGAGTGCGACGTTAAACAACAAACAAACAAACAAACAAACACCACCATGACAACAGCGTTAACCATCTGAGACCTGAATTACTTTAGGTGCCAAACTCAAGTCAATCACTCATTCATCTATGTCATTATTTGTTTTTTTGACAGATACTTTTGTATTCTGGAACTTAATCTGACAGAGCAAGCCATTGCTAAGACAACAGAAAATATCATCTATATGAGTCAGTTTGCCCCTGGGGGCAGAGACAGCATCACATGGCCTGTTGGGGTCCCAGAGCCGTATCGACCCAAGAACAGATTTGATGTCATCCGCTGGGACTACTTCACTGAAACTCATATCTACTTTGATGATGATTTCTCAAATGTGGAGGAGTTAAAAGGTAAATTGGAGTGAAAAATATGTTATGTCATAGGCCATTAATATTTTTATTTGTTATGTTTATTGAAACTCTGTGACCAAATGTATAACAAAAATGGGTGGGGGGGAATGACTCTTATTTTTATGCGTCTGACACGTCATGCGATAAAATTTTCTGTTTAATAATGAGTGAGTGGTTTTACGCAGTGTTTGTAGCAATATCACTGTGGGGAACATCAGAAATGGATTTCACACATTGTACTCATGTGGGGAGTTAACCTGTGTCTTTGGCTTTACCCACTGTGTTTTAAGAAAAATTACATTCCAAAAATATTTTGGTTGATGATGCTGGTGGAATTCAAAAATGAAAGGTCCGAAAATAGAAAAATATTCCCACCTCCTCTGACTTATGAAGAAAGACATACCGGTGGTAATAGTCAAATGGGGATTCCAGGTGAGTGTTACAAATATGTTATTTATTGAAGATTATGTGCGCCCCGAGTGATTCCAGGGCACGAGAAGTTCCCAGTACATTCTTATCAAGAGTCTTAGTATTTGGGAGTCCGTATACTGTGTCTGAGTGGGGTATTGATGTTTAACTGCGGCATGGTATTTAAGTGAGCTAGCACTGTAAAACTTGCATTAGTCTGGACTAGAATATAAGCTGCCCCACACGCACATGTGCGTCTCCATGTAAGTGAAATTATCTTGAACATAATGTTATAGAGGATATTCCATGTGTCGAGAGACATATCATGTTCCTCTCATTGAGCGACGGGACAAAGGTGATATTTTCAGGACAGGCATAGCCACTCGTAAAAATATCTCCTTTCCCTCGTCATGAGATGAGAGAAACATGATATTCCACGAGAACCAATGAATACCCTATTTATCCTATATTATTTGTGTAGTTGTTTACCAGAAAATTCATTCTTTTCATTACAAATGTAAAACCTTTAACGTAATATGAAGTGTGATGTTCACTGCAATGAGAAGATCACTTTCCTCAACTTATGAAATCTCAGTCTTTCACACTGAAGTACGTACCGGTAATAAAAAACCCACTTCACCTCACCTCTGGTTTTGCTTGTTAAACAACCCATTTCTTTTGTCATGTAGATTTCAATGAATATAGGAAAAAGTCTAAGGACATATTATATTAATAGATTTAACTGGATCATTAAAGTATATGAGGCGGGATGCATTCTAAAGTTGTTTATTTCATTTCAATTAAGAAACTGTTCAAGGCATATGTGAGCATTTTACTCCCTATGGGTGATCATCATACCATTGTCAGTTTCTGAAGCATGGTTGTATCATTCATTACCAGTTACTGTTGCACATCTACTCCTCAGAAACAAGTTCCGGGTTAAAAAAAATTAGTGTTGAGAAACCCATGCTTAATGTAAAAGGCTTCTAACGGGATTGAGTGGTTAGGCTCAGTGACTTGGTTGATGCAGGTCATTATATCACATTTGCATTGATCGATGCTCAGGATGTCAATCACTGGATTGTCTGGTCCAGACTTGATTATTTACAAACAGATGTTTTTGCTGATTACCTCAGTTGCAACTATTCTTCCATAATTTTCCTCTTTATGAGATGACGTCACCTATTGTTCATGGCATCACCAAGGTGTGGTCTCTTTCTGTGATGGTTTCTGTTCCTTAGGTTATTAAGACTTACACAATGAATTCATTCAGAACCGATAATTCATAATTCCTTGTAGCTTGTAGGTCATGTCAAATGACTGATACTTGTACTTGGTGTTTCAGATTATTGTTCTCATTGTTGTAGGTGTAGACAAGCAAGATATTCAAGAAGTCATCAAACTGTCTGTCGACAAACTGAATGCAAAGTACAACAACGGCTTCCTGTACTCTCACCTGGCCAATGGTTATCGCAGGTTCGACCCCCAGAGAGGCATGGAATACACAATGGACATAGCACTGCGGGATATCAGTGCTGCCAACAAAGAAGTGGAGAAAAGAGTGCACCTTGTACGACCCCTTGGTCAAGTTGAAATAGTGCCAATGCCATATGTAACTGAAAATACTCGCATCAATCTCATTTTGCCTGTTACGGAAGAAGACAAAGATGGGGTGGGGAATTTCCTCGACTCATATGCTCATACATGTTTGGACTCAGGAGACAACACATACCTGCTAATCGTGTTTATTTACAAACAAGGTTTTCAAGAAGACACTTTCTCGGTTCTTAAATCAATGATTTCCTATTATGAAAAAAAGTATCAAAGCAGTGATAAAATTGCATGGATATCGCTGCAACATAACAGTTCGTATTACTCCGAGTTCTTCATCCTGGACGAAGTCTCGCTCAAGTTTCCGCCCGATTCTCTGCTATTAATGTGCACTGTGGGTATGGAACTTGCAGCTGATTACTTCAACAGAATCCGCATGAATACTATTCAAGGATGGCAAGTGTTCTTTCCAATTGGGTTCTGGCAGTATAAACCGAATCTCATTTTTGATCGTAAACCCTACCCCACTGTTATTGACATTAATGGAAAGACTGGGCATTACGATGCCAATTCCTTCGAGCACAGCAGTTTCTATAACGCCGATTTTATCGCTGCACGGAAATTACTCACGTCAACTGAAGTAAGAAATGAAGGATTGTTTGACATGTTTGTAAAATATCAGGAAATACATGTGTTTAGGGCAATAGAACCTGACCTTAAGCATAGGTATAAGCCCATGGAATGCTATCCAAGTGCACCGGAGAAACTGTACGAGCGTTGCTTGTCACGGAGAGCTGTGGGTTTAGCTACCAGGGGACAATTAGCTAAGCTTGTATTTGAGCACAATGACAAGGCTCAACAGGCAAGTGCGAATATGAAAGGGCCGGAAGATGATCCTAACATGGAGCCTATTCGACTGGAAAATTAGGGTTGTCTCTCACTGACATGCTGGAAGTGAACCCAGGGAGAGCTGTTATTTTTGTGATAGTATCAGGAGGATTTTTCCTCGAGTTGTCCTTGTGACTTTGTTTTGTTATAAATCATATATTTTTTAACAGTGGGAGTGTGTGTCTCGGTCTGATTGGTTGAAAATGTGGTTTGCAGGAAGGTAGGAATGAAAATATTCTGTATTTTTTACTGTGGTGTGCATATATTCTTGATACATGTCATTTTGGTCTCGGTCCCAAATTTGATAAATAACATGAGTATTATATATTAGGGACCGACCATTTCATATTGTGGGGGTGCCTGGGATTTTATTGACAAAAATAAATTGTCCCAGAAAAAGCTTACAAAAGATGATGCTTCAGACTATTAAAAATTAACAAATTGTCAGCCACAAAAAATACATTGTTGCAAGACTTTTTTTAAAAAAAATCATGTTTTGGCTCATAGTTTTAATTAAATAAATATCTGGTTGTGCTGATGTAGCTGAAAAAATATCAAGTCTCAAAACAAAATCACAGTATTCCTCTCCCTGAATATCAAATGGCGGTATATTGCATTGGTCTCCTATTTACCCGAAGAAGCTTTCCTTTAGTTTTTTTGTTATGTGCATAGTGCAATCAAGTGGGTGTAGTTGTAACCGAAGCATTCATTATATCATGATGTCATTGTATTCCTGGGGGACGTCATGCCTGTCTCACAGATTATAGAGTAACCTTGGTACTGACCATTTGAATTTTATTATTGACGGATCTGGGTCTGGGATTTTAGAAAAATCCAGAAAATCTGATAAAACTGTAAAGATAAGGAATATAATTTGTCCCCAGGTCTTTGTCTCCCCCCAAAATTGTGTAAAAATATATCTTTTAGCTTCTCCTTTCACATGTTTCAGAGCAAACGATTTGTATGTTTTGAAGCTGTGATCAAAAGAGTATATCCTGCCCAAAATAAGTGAAAACAACAAACTTTCGCATCCCTCCACCTCAAGAATATTAAAGTGGTGGGTCCAAAAGGAAGAGAATGCCATGGACAATTAAAAATAACTTTTCATATTTTTAATGTTGACAATCATGTTTTTCTCTCAGATTTTTTGTGTTTATTATCCAGGTTCATTTCAAGACAAAATAATAACATCTGCAAATCTGAAAATAAGATAGGTTTTATGTCCTATTTTATCGCCTGGGAAGTAGATATCAACAGGAATCACTATAATATATAGTGTTTATTCTTAGGCCATGTTGGCAGCACTTTCTGTCTTTTTCTTTTTGGATTTGATAGACATGTATTTTTGGATTTGATCAACTATGTCCAAAGTCACAATCAGAAAATTAATAAAAATGGTTTATTTATTATTATTTTCAACTACTCTGTCTCTATGGTCTTTCCATGAGAAATATAAAGGCATGCTTTAAATATCAAACAAACATGATTGATCAAAAGTGTTGTATATAGTCTGTTACCTTGTTTATATATTGTCCTTAACCAGCGCCAAGCCTTCTCTGACAAGTAAATAATACTCACATTTAATACTGTTAAAAAACATCCATGAACAAAATTCGTCTTTTTTCCCATTAAGCCAACCAACCCAATCAAATTATTGCTGAACCAGATAAAAACATATTGAGCAAAATAATTTTGTTATTTCCATTTTGACCTATCTGGTTAGTGATGGTTAGTACAAAATCTGAAAACCATTAAATATGAAATGTGTGGTCCAAAAGTCATGCTTAAGCATTTGGTTCCAAACTAAACTAAGAGGTATCGACTGGACAGTGGGACTACATCACATTTATCTCCTAAATATATGTGGAAGATGTAACATTTAAGGGAAAGGTTTGACCAGATTCCTTGCTATCATTATCCACCACTGGTCTCATTCTCATTTCTCTCATCACAATACATGTTTGCAAGTATCCAGCATGCCATACATGTAGAATAAAAGTCTCATTATGTTTACATGGTTTGTGATCTTCTCATGAAACAGATAAAGTTTGTTTTTTATTCCCCGGCTCAGTGAAGTTGGCGGGGCACACAGAAATGGGCTCAGTCCATCTGTCCGTACATAGATAGCTTTACAAAACTTGGTACACACATTCACCATATAGTGTAGATGTGCCTTGTGCTATTTATGCGTGCCCTGCATTTTTAATATACTTTGTATAATTTTTAGTTGAGATAGTCTCTGAGCAGAATGGAAGCAGTTGGTTTCATTTCCGGAGCAGAACTTGAAAATTATTTTGGAGGTGTCTTTAAAAAACTTGGTAAACACACTCACCATGTAGTGTAGATGTGTCTTTTGCTATTCATTATTCACCCAATTATTATGTAAACGTTATAAATTTAAATAGACTGGAATGGAAGCAATCTTGACAATTGTACCTCAGTCCTGTTATGTACTTCTTCATGAAACTTTGTACAATATCAGATAAAGGCTGTTTTAGCTCTTGTTCTTTCAAGATTTTAAAATTGTGTTTTACTTTTTTTATTTCAGTTAAAGAGGTTGCATACAAAAAATATAAAAAAATCAAGAAATGGGTATATTTGGTATCATTTTGTAGGAAAATATGTCCTGAATCAAATGACGCAATAAAAAAACAAAGTCCCCACAGCATTTTTTTAATAAGTGGCGCCATCTAGAGGCGACGGATGATAAAATCATTTTGCCAATAAAATGGTCATTTTAAAGTTGGATTATTAAATGAGTGTTTTTAAATAGACATATTACAGTATTGATATGACACAAAACAGAAAAATGAAAATTCAAGTCAAAACATTTTTAATTTCACACATCATTTGACTTTAAAAAAAGCACATTTTCCAAAAAAAATTGATTCATCAGTCAAAAAAGTATTTTACAAAATCAAGATATTTTTCAAACTGGCTTATTTCTAATGTTTATTCATTGTAAAATAAAATTATAAAATAAAAACAACATGTTACCAGAGGATATTCAAATTATTTTCAATCAACACAGCATACCCCTAAAATAATGAATCAGTGGAGGTAACTCTTGCCCAATTTACATTTCTATGAGTTCAAGTACAATTAGCCGCGAGTCGAAGGGACGTAACCACATTACAATTCCTCGCCGTTACATGCGCGTCCGGTATGCGCATGAACAATGGTATCCAACGTCTTTAAATGGCACACCAGTAGACACTGCATCAAACAGAGCTATAAAAGGACTCATAGTAGATGTAAAGAAAATCACCAGGTTTTGAGGCGTCAGCATCAAACTACTCTTGTACCTTATCTGTATGGTGTACCTAACTCTGGTAACTACCCATAAAGGGTAGGCCTGCAACAACACCTGCCTGTATAACCACGCTCTACCATACAATTCATAATATATTAATAGTGAATTGTGCAGTGCTCAAGGATACAAAATATGCTCAGCCTTCACATACTGGAAGATGATTATAACCTTTGTTTATCAGACTAAGGCCGACATTTGTACTAAGTTTCATGGAGATGTTATACAGTAACTTATGTATTTAACCCCTTTCACAAGCAGACGGACAAACAATTAATTTCATTGTCACTTTGATTGCACATTCATGTATCATTGTCTTTGAGATTGGACAATGGGCAGGGGATATAGTTGACTTCGCCTTCTTGTTGAAGTGGTATTATTGGTGTTGAATTCACTGGTCACCTCCGTGGTCCAGTGGTAGAGCGTCTGCCCGAAAGTGGAAGCGCGGGGCTTTGATCCCGGGCCATATCATACCAAAAAAACGTCAAAAGATGGTACTTTTTGTTACCCTGCCTGGCCTCCCTTAGTCGAACCAGGATCTTCGTTCCAGTGACAAGCCTAAAATGTTCAAACTGTTTCTTTTGACAGTTTATTTCACCTGACTGAAAGTCAAGTAAGCTGAGCTTGTGGGAATTCGTTGTTGGCATTCTATGCCGCTCATCAGGGGTATGTTAGCTGATTTGGGTGACTGAGAGTCATCATACCCCTAGTCACCAATCCTTCAATCATTTCTCACAACATAAATCAATGAATTGTCTGGTCCAGACGCACGCACGCACGCCTAAATCAAAATATTTAAGATTCTTAGCAATTCCTGCATTTTGGCGCGCGCGACTAAATCAAAATATTTATGATTCTAAGCAATTCCTGCATTTTGCCTGCAATCACATTAAACGAAACTTTCAGATTTTCAACAGAAATCCTCTTCACAGTCAACTATACAATAATTGGTTGTAACCGCAATAGCACCCAACAGTCCACACATGCGTGAAGGAGGGAGAAAACTCCATTCTTTCCTGAGTCCAACGACTTCCTGCGTACTTCTCTCCTCTAGTACTTTGTGGGAGTCACACTACTATTCTAGTCCGTTTCAGTAAACACTTATTAAAACTTCTACTAAAAAAATTAGTATTATTATTGGTTGTTTATGATACCTGAGTATTAAGTAAGTGTTGATGTTTTTTTATTTATCCTACGACTCCTTCGACATGTTATAATTGTGGCCGCCTTGTGATTGCAAGCATGTGCGTGTTAAAAATGCAGGAGGTTATCTGTACAGAAAGCCTATTTTAAAAACTCACCAAGACCAGGGGGAAGACGCGGACATGAGAAAGTTGACGATACAATGTCTCACCCTGATGTCATCTACACCACAGCCTGATCAACCCACATTCCTATCTGTCTGTTGGAGTAATTGTTTGCTCAACAGAGGGCCGAGATGGTCTCATTATTTTATCTCGTTTTTTCGGTCCTTCCAACCGTCCGGTTAAACCGGCAGATAAGCTACCACATTGCACCGGCTATACTGATCACCACTCTACAGTAGCTGATACAGCTCGACCACCATACAGTCTCCACAATGACTGCACACAACACGTTTCTTTTCTAGTCAGTTACAGGATCGGCCAGTCAACCGTATGGTCTCTGTAGGGGAGCGACAGTTTGTACATTATGCACCAGTTTACCCATTTACAGATCATGCCTGCATCGTGGACACCATTGGATAATAACCCGCAGGGGAACCACGTGGATCCACTCAACTAATTTGTTACTCACCAGCTGTATGTACTCCCGTTCGGGTGTCTCCCACCACCCTTCTGACTCTGACCTGGACAATGAAAATGGCTGTTATGAGGTTGAAAAGTCCAAAACGCGGGAATTTGGTATTCATCTTACCTTAGAGGATCTACTGAACTCCCTATACTATTTCATGGTGCACCTGCCTCTCCGTATGGACCAGTCTAGTCCTACTTAAAGGCCAGTATATGCGGGTTACCACGCCCCTGTTTCGTCTAACGTTCACCAGACTCTGCCTTGGCTGAGTTACACACAAGGGATTATCGATCAAGACTCGGGCAATCTACATTAACTTCATCATGACAATAGACTCCTGCTCCCTAATCTAAAGCAAAAGTTATACCGAACACATGAGTCGCCTTCTCTCATTAAACGGTTTTATATGATGACTTTCATAAGCTGTTCAAAAATCCCAACACGAGACACAAGTCTCAACTGTATCAGAATCGAACTTTTCTGACTCAACTCACAACATGCATCGGATTCATCATCAATCCTTCCAAGTCGGGACTCTCACTCGTTCAGAACCTAGTTTACATGGGCCGTTCTCCTTCACAAGGGCATTCTCTGTCCATAAGAAGATTGTTTTGTCCAATGCTCCTCGTGATCGACGATGCACTAACCCAGTCGATCCACACGATCAGATGGTAGATGTCCCCCTTCGGAAGGTTAACCACTCTCCGGGATCTGATTTGCAGAGAAAGGTTACAGTTACATCCTCTTCAAGCCTGGATAAACGATCTTCGGGATCAACCCCTGGACACGGGTTCCTTTATACCAAACACCTTCCAACACCTCCTCCTTTTCATCATCACCATGTCATAATGAGCATTCCTCTCACATAGTTGCCTCCAGAACATCATACGTTCATGGATGCCTTGGTTTCAAGCTGGGGAGCCCACATGGACGATTTCCAGAGATACAGGGCTCATGGACTGGGACCGAGAAGGATCTCCATATAAACTGCAGGGAGATGAAGGCGAATTTTATGTGATCCAGAGTTGGAAAAATCTCCTCGTCAATTCGTCAGTCCTGATCGCCACAATACTGCCGCCATGGCTTATATACAGAAACTGGAAGGAATTAAGTCCTGTTCTCTGATGATGGAGACTTCTCGTTTATTCGTCTTGGCCGACAATTACTGGATGAAAGCGAGATGTATTCCATGGACGGTAGGAGGTACAGCAAAAACACGTACCGCACATGCTAAACGTCGTTGTTGACTGACAAGATGCGCTACTCAGCTGATGGGAAACAGTTGATTTTTAAGGTATATGATTTCTTTCAATGTATTGCAGAAAGAGGAAAACTATTTTATGCCATTAGTACACACTTAAAACGAGCTTCTAAAGCTCTTGGTATATCCCCAAACAAGCCTAAAAATGTTGTCCGTCGACGGGACTCCAGCAACCTGGCGAAGCAGGTGGGGAACATATCAAAACCACTTAAGGTTGATGAATTAGACTGTTTTCAGAAACATCACGTCAGACGTGCAATTGTTAAACTAGCATTCAGAAAGTAATTTCTTGTCACTACGTCTCTTGAAGAAATACCTGAACCAAAAAAACTGAACATGATTTAATTGTTACAAAATACAAGCTATATCAACTTTTGCATACATTTGGATACATATACAAAAAGATAAGTGGTGAAAATAAGGCTGTGTCCTGAACTATCCGACATCTTTCATCTCCGAAATCATTCTCGCCGAACCATCAAGCAGACACGTGAAGAAGGATATGAGCCTGATTTCCTAGATGAGACGAGGGTAAATGCCTCTCATACAGCCAGCAGTCAGTGGGTACCCGGTGGGGACTGTAAGGAGTCTGGGAGAAAGTTTCCTATGGGAAAAGGTGAAATGCTCCATGGTGGCTGTTCTAGTCAGGGTTTGCTCCCAGGCTGTGACCTTGTCTTTCGAGCAGAGGCCAAGGGCAACAGGGACTACCACACAGAAGGGTATTTCTGGAGTGGTGAAAAATAAATTGGTTCCTGCTTTGCCTGCCAAGTTCCTTATTATCATGGACAATGCACGATATCACAGTATGCAGGATCAGATCAAACAAACCTGAGCCAGTGTACATATGTTTGACAATTATATTAAATGTCACAGTCACGCCGTCTTACGACTTCCTCCTGCGATCTGAACCTAACAGACTTGATATGGGGAATCGTCAAAGGTGACGTTGGACGATTAAACGCAATGTTGGGTATTGAAAAGCTAGTAAATGAATCACTTGGTCGGGTAAGAGTGGATACATGGCAGGTTACCAAAGTCGTCAACGAGATATAGTCAATATAATGGGCACTTGAAGGACTTCAGCAAGCAACAGTCCCATCATCAGCAGTGACACAAGCAATTCTGACGACGAGAGCTGTGACATGAGCAAGTCATATTAGATTAAAATT